TCTTCTACCTTCCTTTTTATTAATACCAAAGTCCTATCTAGTAGACTTAAAGGCCCTTCTCTCTGTGTATGTAAGTCTTTTGAGTTGAGGTAGTTCCAGTGATAGTTGGTGTAGTCAGAAGTTTTCTGCTCATTCTTTGTTAATGTTGAGGAGGATGGTTGAGCTATGAATCATAGAGCTGACAGTATCTATGCAAGATCATTTGTCCCAACCACCCATCTTCAATTGGATGAATGAGATCCATGCAGAACATGACGATAAGGATCAAGATTCCAAAATATTCCCATTCCAATATTTTATCATTCTTATGGCTAAGAACTTTATCTTCTTATCTTTTAAACTTTCAACATCTCTTGCTGTGTCATAGCTTAACACTGAATTAAATATTTTTATTTGTTATAAGCAAAACTGACTATAGTTTCACCTATTTTTTTCTGAGCTTATAAATAAAGGGAAAATCTAAGAAATAAGAGTTTAACCTATGCTTGGTATTTCTTCAGCCTGCTGTTTTTCATTCATGTCAGAAGGCAGCATTATACTTAATTGCTTTCTGATAACCCAAATCCAGCTTGTGATTTTTAACCTCTTGCTTTCATTTATTTACATATATAGTTTTGAATATATGTATGAATTTATGTCCCTTCAGAAATTAGTTATTATACAAAAGACAGAATGTCTTAAGGAAATAAATACATGTATTTTATTTTTTGACTATTATTTCTTTTGTGTACAAATAACACATGTTCATTTTAGGAAATTAGAAAATATAATTGAGCCCAAAAGTAAAAAATTAGTCCATGACCCACAGATTACCTTTAACATTTTTATAATTAAGTTTAAAATATGTTTGTATGTATTTATTGTTTTGTTAAAGTAGTACATAACTGTCCATATAGTATATAGTTTTTGTACCTACTATGTTTGTTCACTAGTATATCATTTGGGTATATAAAGTTCTTAGTCATTATTCTAAATGGCTGCACAATATTACATTGTGGATCTAGTATGACAAATTTAATTAATTGATTTCATACCCTACTGCTGTATATCTTACTCCATTTATTTTTTAATTCCAATAGATTTTGTACTTTATTTCCACTTTTGTGCATTTCTTTTTTCCCTTGGTAGGGTATTTATAAAATTAGGTAAGCTTTGGAACTCAATCTTTTTCTCTTATATAGGCACATAATTTCATTGCCCTTTCTCATCCCTAATGTTCTAGCTTTTTTCCAAATTTCATAGGAAAATTCTCTTTTTCTTGCTTTTTTTTAATTTAAAAGACTTTTAATTAGTTGTTGCTTAAGTATGATTGCACTAATCCTATGTAATAAAAGCCTAATATGCAAATTGCCCCCTGTGGCAGTCGTTCCATGGGGAATTCGACCACTCAGTATGACATGTGCTGACCACCAGGGGGCGATGCAGAACATGGCAGGCTTTGGCGACACGGTGCTGGCAGCAGGCGTTCAGGTGCAGGGCACCTGTGAGGATCCCACCCCACACCTGCACAGCCTCCTGTGGGTGAGCTGGGCCTCAGCTGCTGGGACTGTAGGGACTGATTGGGCTCCCCATGGGTTTGTGCAGAAGCCGGTCTGCAAAGCTGGCCAGGAGAGAGCGTGCTGCCCGCCTGGCTTTTGTATAGCGCTGCTGGGCGGCCCCAAGGCCCACACTGCACCCCGGCCCACGGCCTCTGGCCACGCTCACCTCATCTCCACATGGGAACTTGGGCACCGTGACTCAGGTGGAGGCGGGCGCGCGGGTCTCGGGTTGCCCAGGACCCAGAGGCCAGCTGTGACCTGCCCTTCCATGCCAGACACTTGCGCTTCGATCTCCAACCAGGCCTAGGGACCACACCTGTACAAGAATTTCGTTATTGTAATAAATCTGTATCTGTAAGGATGAAGACAGCTGTGTTTTTAAGGAAAATTAAACCAGTATTATCAAAGTGTAGAGCCTTTTGAAAAGCCATGTAGAAGCTATCTATTACAGCTCCAACTTCTTATCCTCTTTTAAATAAGTGTGCTTTCTTTGTTGTTACCATTGTTAAAAATGGTTTCATTTTTAGATGCTAGAACTACAAGTATAGGTATTTCTCACTATATATTTATATCTGTATGCAGGAATCATATAGATTAGTGTATATTGTAATAAATCTGTATCTGTAAGGATGAAGACAGCTGTGTTTTTAAGGAAAATTAAACCAGTATTATCAAAGTGTAGAGCCTTTTGAAAAGCCATGTAGAAGCTATCTATTACAGCTCCAACTTCTTATCCTCTTTTAAATAAGTGTGCTTTCTTTGTTGTTACCATTGTTAAAAATGGTTTCATTTTTAGATGCTAGAACTACAAGTATAGGTATTTCTCACTATATATTTATATCTGTATGCAGGAATCATATAGATTAGTGTATGTTTTTAAATCATTGGACATCTGAACCCTTCTTACTTCAAAACTCAGGAACCAAGTAAACTGGATAGCGAAGGATTCTTGTATATTACTCTAAATTTTTTATAAAATTAAATGCAT